AATCCGGGCGCGGCGAGTAATGGAGGGTACAGTCAAGTAACAGGTACAACCCGAACGGTTTCCCACGGTGGTGCGGGCATACAGGAGCGGCTACGCCGCCCCTCAGTTCCCCACCCCCTTAACACACGCCAGGCCCCGGCCGGCGTACTATTATTATTATTATTATTAATTTTTTCCGCAGTTTTCATCCCGAAGCTAAGTGGAGATTCACGTAGCAACGAAACTAAACCTATGCTACCTGCTCATGTAGCCCTAGGGTGGGGATCTGTAGCTGTACAGCAGTGCAGTGCGGCACGGAACAGTTGCAGTGCAGCATCTCTGTATACATGCTCTGGTGCCGGTTGCTGCAGGACTGTCGGCTCAGCAGCAGTTCCCGCAGATGCCCGAGAGATTTCTGTATCCGACTGTTGCCGCATCGGAGGCCTTGTTGGTGGAGCAGATTACGACTACGCGTTGGATGGCTATCGCTTTGGCGTGAACTATGTGCCCGGCGTGAATTCATCAATCGTCACCCAGGCGCCGGCCATCATGCTCGTGGGGAAAGCAACAAGTTCAGGGGTAAGGACAACAACAAGGGCGGGGAATGTGTGCACAGGCGGTGCCTGTACAGGTACAGACATGTCTGAGATATATCACAGAAAGGGGTGGGGAGCTATGTATGCAGGTAAGCGGAGTTCTAGGGTAGGGTGGGGTACCAAGCAAATGTCATTTGCATGGCACCAGGTGAAGTGTGTCTCTAGACGGTTCAGGCCCCGCCCCAGCCAGTCCTGCCCCACCCTGCTGGCTCACGCGGGTGGCACAGCCTGTAAGACCAGGCAAAGAGTACTCTTGGAGGTGCCAAGGATAGCTGATCCCTTCTCGAGCTCGTACTCGTTCCCCCATCGAACGAACGTCCTTGGGATTTTTTATTTCGTCCGTCTTTGTCCGAGTTGGAGATTTTCTATTTTCTCAGCATGTTAGTCTTATTGCCCACCCTGGGATCTGCTTTGCTTTAATTAAGGAGGGTGCGGCATTATGTCTGGAGAGCTTCATGTCGTACCCAGAATTGATCTGGGGAATTCCCATCACCCTGCTGGCTAGCAACTTGCACCAATATTGGTACATTAATGTAGAAGTACTTGCAGAAATGCCATGGGAAACCGAATCTACAACTTTGATCGAAGTCCGCAAA